GCTATGGATGACCACCAAGGTGTCCAAATACAGATGCATATATTAGGAAGATGTGATGCCCATACCACGCAATGGGATAAAATTCAACTATAAGAAAATAAACTCTTAATTTTTCTAGCAACATGGATAAAGCTAGAGAGCATTGTGCTAAGTGGAGTGAGTCAGAAGGAGAAAGAAAAATATATCTTGTCCTGTAACTGTAACATACATATGAAGGAAGTGAGCCTGCCTATACCCCTACATCATATGCCATGTTGTAAACCAATGTTAACCTAAAAAAAAAAAAAGTCAACACAGGTTCTTTTCCTGTAAAAGAAGGTAGTTTAGGGAATGGTATTTTAAAACTTGGCAAGTGTTTACACTTCATGGTGTATTTTGAATGTTTCTTTTATATATTTCAGTTAGTAGGTGTTCGTTTTTCCTATAGGGATCTAATTTTAACTGTTATTCTTTGGTTTCGAGCAGTTTTCTTCTGCTACTGTGGTTTCATTTCCATCTGTGCCTCCACTGAGATTCACCTTCAATTTAACATTGTAAGCGAATGAGAAGTAAATATGCTATAGAAGATCATATTACTATCATTGAGTAGAGTATACCTATATGCTTTAGTCAGATAAATTCTGAATTTATAATTTATTTCCTTTCACATTGATGGCCTTGTGAATCAACTTCCTCTTACTTTTTTTTCCCTAAAAATGAGCCTTAGAGAAATCCTGAGTTTGATTATAGGCTATATTATTGCTGCAACCTTACTTAGCTGAAAGATTCAAATAACCCTACTTATTAACATGGGTTTTGTTCAGATTCCCATTCTGAGTACCAGCTCCTTCAAGTGGTTCTTGGCATTTTACACTTCTGCATAAGATGTCCAATATATTACTTTTAACTGTAATTAAAATAGTAACTTGCATTTCAAGTTCAATGTCCAAATGGAGTATTTAACCTAAAGTTACAGATGAACACTCTCCACTTCCAAATGTGTATGACTTAGGAAAAAAAATGTGATGCTTGCAGCATTTCAGTTTGCGAAAAGCTACTCTTAGAGCCTAAATCATTATGCTTGAATAGTAATATCTACAACTTCTTGTTTGATGAACTATGGTATTGTAACTAGGTGGTCCCTAGGAAAAGTGGAACTTCCAGGTTCCCTGCCCCATCCAGAAGTAGGGTGGAGCTGAGAAGAGAAAAAGAAAGAAGAGAAGGAATATGAAGGGGAGAAGGAAGCAGGATAGAGAGCCAGAAGGAGACTTGAGGAAGCCACATGGAGCAGAGAGACATGTGAAGAAACTGTGCTTGTTTCTTGGCCCTGTGCTGGTTGAAATAAATGTGGTAGAGAGACCCGTGGGGAGGTTGACTATGGCAGTGTTTATATTGATTTTGATTTTGCTCTTTTCCTCCCAGACTTGTCTGGCCATTTCTGAGCCTTTTCGATGGGTCCTAGCCAGAAGGTGCTTTAGTCTTGTGGCAGCTTTCAGGCCTTGCTTTGGGCCAGTCCCTTTTGGGTTGACTTTTGCCCATGAGGGGATGGGTAACTAAAGGTGTTTGATTAAGAAATTATATTCTTTTTCTTCTGTATTGTATATTCACTGTGTTAAAGTTCTTTTTCATTAAAGTCTTATATGTTTTGTCTTGATGCAGCGGATGGCAGAACCTATTTGAGGCAGGCAGGTTTGGGGGTTCTCCCTGTCCTGTAACAGTATCTGCATCAATTTTGTTCTTATTTGCAGGGAATAATTTACAAACTTGAGTATTTTCTCAGTTTTAGTTTTAGTCTCCATGGAGCCATCTCCCAAGGGTACTTTGCTTATTGCAACATTTATCATTTTATGTTAGCTTGTACAATTCCAGCTTTCACTTATAGATGTGTAAAACTTCCTTTGGCTTTGAAGAAACCCCATCTTACTTAGAAATATATTTGACTTGTGGAAGACATTAATGTCAGATGGTGATAAAAACAAACCTTCCATGTGGAATTTGACAGTCTTAACCTCAAAGTGTAGTTAATGAGAAGAGTAGAAATAACAGTAATAGAAATGAACTAATCAAAATTTCAAGGGACCCCAAGAAGACATATCCAACTTCTTACATATAAATGACTAAATCTTTAAATTACAGCTATCTTTTAACAAAATTGCTCAATTAATTTCCTGCACAACAGAAAATGGAAAGGAATTCAAATAATAAATGCAAGGTTTTTTTTTTGTATGTGTATCGAAAGCTTCAAAGATCAATGACTAAGTTAGTATTTTGACTCGAATTTTAAACTTAATCTAAAGTAATAATCAAAATATATTTATAATCATTATTAAAAGTATAATAATCATTATACATTTATATGAGAGGGAACATAAAACATATGACTTGAGAGTTTTCTAAAGCTGTCAAGTAATTTGGTTTTCAGTATTACAAATAATGATGGTAACCTGGATGTTCTGCCTTTTCTTTTTATATTTCAGAATTTCTTAATGAAACGTCAAAATATCTGTGTAATATCCTATTGCTGAAACTCCAAGTGACTTTGCGAATAAAAGTAAAATGGCTTAACGTGAGCAACCTGATATTAGGATTTTTTTTTAAAGATTTATTTATTTGTGCATATGGAACTGGGGTACAGGCCAGAGAAGCAGAGGGTGAGAGGATTCAGGGACAGAGTGGGGAGCAGAACAGGCAGATCGACTAAGTACACTGCTGAGGGGAGCAGCGGGTGGGTCAGGAGAGTTCTGCCACACGTGGTCACCTCCGGGGCAGGCGGGAATCGAACTCATGCGGAAGTGGTTTCAGCTTCTTAGTGCAGTGCTTTAACCCGCTGCGCCACCAGGGAGGGCCCGATATTAGGATTTTTAATGCAATTAGAGGAACTTTAAAAATCTGTCCTTTAAAGTCATGCCTCACTTAAAATTTTCAATTACAGTTATCAGAGACATGTTATTTCAACACAGCTTCATAGCCATTTTTTAAAGATTGATTTTTATTTAATTATGCATACAAGAACTGGGGGTACAGGCCAGAGGTGGGGGGGGGGTAAGAGGATTCACCACAGACAGAATGGGAAGCAGAACAGACAGATCCTCTGAAATACACTGCTGAGGGGAGCAGCAGGTGAGAAAGGGAGGTCTGCTGAGCCTTTCCTGGGTTAGCTCCCAGGCCAGGGATCAAACTGCTGCCACAGAGGCTGTAGCTTGATAGTGCTGAGACATAACGCCTGTACCACCAGGGAGGCCCTTCATAGCCATTTCTGTTAAAACACCTGTTGAACACAATTTGAGATTTGTTTTTAAAAAACTGTGACCACAAACATTTCTGTTGGTGCTTTTCTAATATTTTTAAAAATAACTATATTATGCTTTTAAAGTCTTTCCTTATTCTACTCCTTCTTCTCAATTGTCCATCTCTTTTTTTTGTTCTCACAACAATGTCAAACTAACAAAAAAAAATTTAACTAATTTTAAAAGTGTTTTGTGGCTGTCAGCACTCCAGTCTTTTTATTAGAAACCCCCAAATGCAACTGTGATCCAAATTTCTTAGCATTTTGACTAGATACAATTAGAAATCGAAACCGGTGATTCAAAGTAGTCCTTACTATTTGGTTGATGAAATGACAAGAAAATATACTGAAAAAGCAAAAAAAAAAAATCCAATTTAAGACTCATGCCTTAAGGAATAAAGAAAAGCTCACCCACTTCTCTTTGATACTAAGTACATCAGAGTTGAATTAAATTCAGTAAGTTTCTGAAATTATTTTTATTCTGTAAGGATATTATAGAAATTGCATTAGCTATGTTATTGCTAATGCTTTGTAAATAAATGAAGCATGGACTTCATTTTCTGAATAAGGTACACAGGAAAGGAAATAACTAGATTTAAGAGAATCAAAAGATCACAAGGCGTCTTGACACAACTTTGTTACAGTGACATAATCATCAGATACTGTGTGGGCAAGAATGCATCGTTCTCCCCTTGGAATGTACGTGGCCTGGACGTTTTACTTATGAGTTCTTAAAGTCCGGTGACAGGCTCTTGACAAGTGGGGGAAGAGGTATTCAGGATGTGGAGCTCTAGTCACTGGATCATCAAAGCCCAGTGACTAGGGAGGAAAATTAAAGAGCGCTAACATAATGTTCTTTTCTCATGTCCTATAAATCACAAAGAAACTTTTCTTACCAACTTTATCTGGGGGTGGGGCAGGGCAATTCAGAAACTAAGGGATGGGAACACAGAAAGAGGAGTCTTTTTCCAGGAGCAGAAGTGTGGTAAAATGAGGCGCCCATCTGTCAACCACGAACCAAGTCAAGTCTCTCTGCCTGTTTTCTAAAGTGTGCTACAGGCTCAACGCGGCTGCTCAGTGTCACGGAATGGGACCCGGTTTGCAACCAGCTACTGTGATTTGAGTTTTGGGACGCTAGTTACTCGATTTGGATATGGGAGAACTTAAACCGCGCGCGCTTAGGTGGGCTGAGAAAAGGCCTAGCTGTTTGTTTCTGAACTCACTGGAGGTTTTCTCTTGGAAACTGGCAACGCTACCTTTTAGGCCATCGCAGAGTTTGGGAATAATGTGCAAAAGAACTGGAGTTGCCACCTCCATTTGTTCTGTTAAAGTCGGTGCGGGAAGGCGCGGTAGTGGGGTCAGGCACGTACAGGAGTCCGCTTTGTGTTCCCTACCCGACACTCTTGGGGCATAGGTGGGAGAGATCCGTAGTCCAGGCCACTTTGAGTGCTCTGCGTAATATCTGGACGTCCTCTTGTCACACTGTCAAGAAACACAGGCACCATCAGCCGCCTTCCTGGGCTTCATCTCCTACACTGGCTAGTCCTGAATGGCCTCAGGTAGTCGGCCGGCCACAGAGTCTCCACCTCCTCTCCAGCAGCAGCCATTCGGCGCGTTCGGGAGTCGAGGGGGTGGGGCCCATTGGCTGGGGGGCGCTGCCAGTCTCGGGAGGGGGTGTGGTGGGGGAGGGGTCTCCGGCCGCGGTGGGTCCCGGCAGCTCACTGTTAAAGCTGGGTGGTGAGTGAGCGTGAGCACCCGCTACCGTAGATTTGCAACTGTGCGTAGAGAGGGGGAGCGCGCCAGAGAGAGAGCGCAAGGGAGTGAGGGAGCGAGTGCCAGGGGACCTAGAGGAGAGAGGGAAAGAAAGTGAGGGCCCAAAGACCTACTATTTGAGAGGGAATGACCATGGCTGTTTCCGCATCCCCCGTGATCTCTGCAACTTCCAGCGGCACCGGAGTCCCGGGAGGCTTATTTGGGGCTGAACCCCTGTACTCGACTCCGGGAGAGCCTCCTCGGCTCACCCCCAAGATGATCAACAGTTTCATGGCCAATAACCACAGCGGCAGCGCGGGAGTTGGCGGGGTTGGCAGTGGCGGTGGCGGCAGCGGCAGCACTAACGAATGCCGGATGGTCGACATGCACGGGGTGAAGGTGGCTTCGTTCTTGATGGACGGCCAAGAACTGATCTGCCTGCCTCAAGTTTTTGATCTCTTCCTCAAGCACCTGGTGGGAGGGTTACACACGGTGTACACGAAGCTGAAGAGACTGGACATATCCCCTGTGGTATGTACTGTTGAGCAGGTCCGGATCCTCCGCGGGCTGGGGGCCATTCAACCCGGGGTGAACCGCTGCAAACTCATCACCAGGAAAGACTTCGAAACTTTGTTCACTGACTGCACCAATGCCAGGTGAGAAAATTGTTTCTTCACTCTCACTTCTCCCTTTGTCCTCTTCTGCATGTCTCATCGTCCTTATTCAACTTTGTAGAGAGTGAGTCTTAATTAGCTTGCCTTTGCACTTCATGCTGTAAGTCCATGGGGTAAAGAAGACTAGGATTGCCCGTCCATTGTAGCCTGTGTTTCGTGGCAGGACTTGGGTCTAAGAAAGTCCCGCACAAACTTATGTTTGCAAACTTTCCAGTCTTTACTCATATCTTGCATGGCATTTCGACCGATTGTGTTCATTTGTTAATTTATTGTCTTTACTTTTTTGTGGCCTTATGGGTTGTAGAGGTTTTCTTGTGTACACAAGGGCTGTCTGGGGAGGGGGCTGGCTGAGCTATAAACTGCTCCTAAGCTGGCAATCCACACATTATTGGAGGGGGGGGGGATGCAGAGGGTCAGCAGTCTAGAATCCTTCCCAGAGTATGAATCATTTCCCATCCTGTGTGCTTTATTGTGAGAGTGTATGGGTGATGTATGGTAGTGGTGATGATGATGGTGGTGTCTGATTGGTGTGTGTGTGTGTGTGT